AGGGACCATTGCCTTATTACATGTATATATTTTGAATTTCAAGGCCACAGTTTTTTTCTACTTGACGAATGTATTAGGTTCTTTTGTGCACTACTGCCAACGCAGCAGCATCACCGTCTAAAACAATCAAATAATAGTCTTCCATCACAAAAATATATTTTTTCTATTCAAAATTTACTTCTGTTTTCCGCCACTGTCAGGTTCTTCACGTCCAACCCCGGCGTGCAGGACTTCTTCCCCAAGTTCAAGGGGCTCGACTCGGCCGACCAGCTGAGCAAGTCGGCCGCCGTGCGCTGGCACGCCGAGAGGATCATCAACGCCGTCAACGACGCCGTGGTGGCCCTGGACGACCCCGAGAAGCAGAGCCTGAAGCTCAAGGCCCTGAGCAAGAAACACGCCCAGGAGTTCAACGTGGACCCCCAGTATTTCAAGGTACCGAAGGAGTAAAACTAAACAAAATAATACGCATACTTTTTGAGCACCCATAGTTGCTGTAAGCTTTTGAAGATTAACAAAAAAAAGGTAAGCTTCTTTTTTCCATGTTTTAAACGTGAAAATGATTGCAAAAAGCATTCGAAGTTATCAGCCAAACTACCCCCAAAAATGCTGAACTGGGGCGAAAGCCATTAGATCATTTATTTGAGAACTCAACATTACAACTTAAAACAAGAAGTGGTGTACAGCCTGCATCACATGAAACCCAGTCTCGTGGAAATATCTCGTTGAAATATTTTAACGTGCGGTGGCTGGGTGGCTCAGATGTCAGGGTGCAAAGCTGGCATCGCTGAATCCTGGGTTCGAATACAGGCTGTTAATCTTGGGCTCGCATACAGGATTTGATCCTGGGTTCGAATCCAGGCTGATAATCCTGGGTTCCAATCCAGGCTGATAATCCTGGGTTCGAATACAGGCTGTTAATCCTGGGTTCGAATACAGGCTGTTAATCCTGGGTTCGAATACAGGATGGTGATCCTGGGTTCGAATCCAGGCTGTTAATCCTGGGTTCGAATACAGGCTGTTAATCCTGGGTTCGAATACAGGATGGTGATCCTGGGTTCGAATCCAGGCTGTTAATCCTGGGTTCGAATACAGGCGTTTAATCCTGGGTTCGAATACAGGATGATGATCCTGGGTTCGAATACAGGCTGTTAATTCTGGGTTCGAATCCAAAACTTTACGAAAGAACCCGAGCTTCAACAAAGGATTCGAAACCAGGATGCTAATCCTGGGGTCGAATCCTTTGATGAGAACCCGAGATTAATCAAAGGATTTCAATCCAGGATGCTAATCCTGGTTTAGAATCCTTTGATGAAGCTTGGGTTCTCTCGTTAAGTTATTATCGGAAGAATATTGTCTTTAACTGTCATGCAAGGAGCATTACTGTGTTTCGCGGGGTCAATGGCGAAGTGCTGCCTCCGAGTGTATGGCTACGAGGTCACTTAAAGGGATCTCAGTGGCAGCTCTTTGATATCCGTTTCCAAGGGCCACAATCTTCACAATGGTGACAATTCTCATAGCACTAAGTGGACCCACAACTGTTGGGGTTTCTGTATACTCCACATAATCAACCATCATGGTGACGGTGGCGACATGTTCAACACCTCGCCTGATTCACGGCAGGTCGTGGGTTCGACCCCCACCCTGACGCCTACTGTATATTTTGAGTTTGCGCGTCTCTCGCCCTCATTATCACGGTGGCTAGGGAGATGTTAACTCCCTCGTCTGGTATGGAGGAGGTCGTGGGTTCGACCCCCACCCTGACGCCTGCTGTATATTTGGAGTTTGCGCGTCTCTCTCTTTCCGTGGTCGCGTGGATTCTTCTCCGGGTCCTCCCGGGAGTTCCCCCCCCTCCACATTTAGAATCAACATCACGCATTTAGAGTAATTGGCTGCTATACATTTCCACGTGATAAACCACTTCGTTGAGCTATCACTTGCAGGCAGGTCGCTTCTGAAAAAGAGCTACATAGCTCAGTGGGCTTTACCTGGTAAACTAAAAATAGTTTACTCATGTCCTACAAACATAAATGGACACACGTGCTGGGTGCTGGCACATGGCAACTTCACCTTCTGCTGGCAGACTATACCCATTGTGCAAGCCACTGCTGTGTACATCTTGTGCCCTGTACGGACAGTTGTCACTTGGCTAGACTGCTGCGCGAAAACGGAATGGTTTAGATGAGATGTTATGGAAGGCGCTTTCAAATACTGAGGCGTTTAAGTGCCCTATACATGCAAATACGCAGACTTAATTATGTTCTAGGCAAAGTGCACAGACCGGTTCTCTGCCAGCCTGGGCGGACGCGTGAGTCTGGGCTCAGCTTTTCGGGCTATGGCTTGTCGTGCATATTTATTTAATTGCAATCCACGAATTATCTGTAGACTCTTCAAAGAGAGCTGCACCCCAGGCCACCGCCCCAGCCCTGAAGGTCTGAACATCGGGGCCATAGTATCCAGGGACCGGGCAGACAGAGCGCCATGCACGGGGTGGGCGCTGCGGTGTTGCGATTCGTTGGTTTCCCTAACACTCGTGTCTCTCGCTGCAGGTGCTGTCTGCCAATGTGCTGGAGCAGGTGGCTGCTGCTAACGGGGGCCTCTCTGCCGAGGCTCAGGGAGCCTGGGAGAAGCTGCTGAGCATCATCAGCATCCTGCTGAAGTCCCAGTACTAGGCGCGGATACCCTCCCCCGAATCGGCAAAGGAAATGTAACACACCGATATACGTCGTGACGATTCTGAGCCTCGTGGGACGATTGCGTTAAGGTAATAAAAGTAGTGAAGCATCAAATACGTTGTCTTCTGTCTTTGTTTGATTAAAATAAAGCTTTTTTTTCTACCCGTGGCACACCGCTTAGACGTGCAGTAAGAGGGAGAATGAAGGAGCGAGCAAGACGCGAGGGACACGGAGCGGCATTTGTTATCACAGGGGGCGGGGGACAGGGCAACGAATCGGAGTCAATCAATCAAACTTTATTTCTATGGCACTATTCGTCCAAAAAAAATTGCAATACATAGTGCCTTACAGGCACGAACAAAAAAAGTGAAATTGTAGACAATACAATAAAATAAAGTCACGTGATTTACAGGAGGCTCGAGCTGATTTAGAGACATCGATGTCTTCGATTCGAATCATTGCTTCACTCAATACGTTGTATTTTAATTTGACAACATTTGACCTCGCCAGAACCTTCCAAGGCAGTGCTACTCGAGTATCGCTACCACCATACGGGCTCTATATCTAACGAGCAAGATCGTTTTTAAAAAAAAGACTATTCACACACGATGCACATAATTTAATCACATCATTGAAACATCACCACGTCTTTAATAACATTGCACGTAATTTACACCCGAGACGTTTCAATATCAATTCTAATTATATATTTACAGCGTAATGTAATCTTGATCTGAAGCTTTCGTGACTGAAGGAATCCATACTCTTTGGTTATTTCGGTAAAGTCACGACGTTTCGATCGCGACACAAGCGATCGAAACGTCGTGATCTATTAATTTTCTATCTACGTGATTTTACCGAAAAAAACAAAGAGTAACGTAATGTAATTGTTATATGTTACTCTTTAACACAAGTGACCCGTCGTGTACATCATCCCGCAAGTGGAGACCCCCATATCCCTGGCGGCCAGAGCTCAAAACCTCGAGAACATCGACAAACTCCGGGGGATTCCCCCTTCACACTTAGAACCATGCGCTTAGGGTCGTAATCTTTATTCAGACTGCAGGAGAAATCCGATGAGTCGTTGAGCTCGTTCTCACAGATGTCCAGTATGGGCGGGTATTTGGCTGCTCTACATTTCCACGTGATAAGCCACTTGGTTGAGCTATTACTTGTGGTCAGGTCGCTTCTGACAAAGAGCTACATAGCTCAGTGAGGCCTTACCTGATGAAATAGAAAAAAAAAACATAGTACGTAAAAAATAGAAATACTCAAACAGCTGTTATAGGAAGCAGATTTCCTTCACTGGAGACTCTGGCCGAAGCCTTCCAAATCCACCACAAGCACTTTCCACCTGAACAATCGTGCAGAATCGGAATCTTTATTTAGACTGCAGGAGAAATCCGATGAGCTGTGAAGCTCTTTATTTTCTCACAGATGTCCAGTAGGGGCGGCTCAGCGAGTTACTCTGCCACTAGATGCGGCAGATGTCACCCTTGCGGTGGCCGTCCGTGGTAGCTCAGTGCGCACCATGGCTCCACTCCCAAGATTATAAAATATTCTTGCGCGTGATGGCAAATGTGTTCGGGGAGCTAAATGTCAATTTGTCGAGGTCTGCTAGCCACGAGGGTTTCAGTGTTCCGGTTATTTACGTGCATTGCATTACAGTATGCATGTAGTTTAACACGTAGCCTTGTTATGAATAGTATTTGTGCATCCAACAGACCAGGCTGGAGCGCAGTTACTGCCAATGAGCAGAACAGTGATAAGAGGCAGCAGTTCGCAACACATCAGCTGAGGGTCGTACCTGCAAGTTACTGATAAATTGAGAGGCCAGGTAACGTTACATAGCATGATGTTATATGTTCCTTTCAAGGCAGTCTAATCTACACGCATTTAGATTATTTTGCTGCCACTTTGTTGAGCTCTGATTTATGGCCAGGTTGCTTTTGAAAAATAAGTTATTACTTGAGTGGGCTTTACCTGGTAAGACAAAATATAGTTTACTTTTATTTGAATATATATTTTAAAGTTATTTCCCTTTTTTCCTAAACTGTATTTTACGCTCCTATCGTGTTTGTTGTTGTAACGTTCTGACCCGCCCCTACTGGACATCCGTGATGAAAAGAGCTTTATAGCTTCTCGGATTTCCCCTGCATATTTGAATATAGGTGTAAATTTTGATTTAAAGCTTTCGTGACTGCAGGGATTCATATTCGTGGTTCTTTCGGTAAAGTCACGTAGAAGGGAAACAATAAAATAATAAAAATTATTGTTGTGGTTTTCACACCTGATGACTGCTTGTGTTGCAGTCAAAACGTCGTGAGAATTTTGTTTTATATTTTTATTTTATTGTTTCCCTTGTACGTGACTTTACCGAAAGAACCAAGAATATAGTACGTGTATTGATATTTTAAATCACAACTGCGTGGCGTCATCGCAACCGTCACAAACGCGTGACGTCATCGCAAACAGCACATTAAAGAAACGCGTGGCGTCATCGCAACCGTCACAAACGCCCGTCGTGACGTCACCGCGCGAGCAGCCCCCCCCACCTCCCCACACCACGGCGGCTTCTTTTACATTTCGTAGCACGCATAAATCGCCTCGCCGCCTCGCGCCCGTCCATTGGCCTCGCGCCGGCGTCACGTGAGCCCCGTCGCAGCGAATCGGAAGCGCGGGCGCCGGCGATGGCGCCCTTGTCCGCGCTGGGGTTTTCGAGAGCGCGGCGCGAGCCCCGGTGAGAGGGGGTCTCAGAGCGGCGGGGGTCCGCGGGGTCCTCCGGGGGGGTCCCCTCGGGGGTGCCCCCTGCCCCCCGGGGCTTGCCCCCACGTACAGCCGCGCCGAAGTAGCCGCGCGCGCCCCCCTCCACCCACCCCCTGGGGGACGAGGCGGTCGTTGCGTCGAGCGCGCCGCAAGCCCCAGACGGCCGCGTCTGTTGCTGCTCATTGTTCAGAGGGGGGCGGGGCGTGAGTGGGGGAGGGGGCGGGGTGGAGGGGGTAAAATGGGGCGGGGTGGAGGGGGTAAAAGGGGGCGGGGTGGAGGGGGGAGGTGGAAGGGGGAGGGGCCGGGGGTGGAGGCGGTACGGGCTGGAGGGGAGGGGGTGGAGGGGGAAGGATAAAGGGGTGGAGGGGGGTTCGTGACTGTCTCTGTCCATGTTGTGGGGGAGCGGTGGCGCGGTGGTTAGCGCACTGCGTTGCGAATCCGACGACCCCGGTTTGAGTCCCACTCACGAATAATAGCGGCGAATATTTGGAATATTTGAACCGATCACAGGCCTCTCCTAGGTCGACCCAGCCTTCAATGAGTACGTTGGTCGGTGTGTAAACATTAACACTGGGGAAACAAAGGCGGCCGGGGGTGGTTGCTGGCCACCCACCCCTCCACTTGCGCGCCGTGCCGGCCTTCATAGGTTCTTGCTGGGAGTGTCTTCGTCAACGTGTCAATGTTCATTCCACATTTATTCACTGCTGTGTGCAGCATGTTGCGTGCGTGTTGCGTGCATGTGCTTGTAAATGATGTACAGTACATGTTGACGAGCGTTCTTACGACGGTGAGTGTACGTATGTATGCATGTGTAAGTGAGCGCGCGCGTGTGTGTGTGATATGAAGAAGGACCATTTCGCGAAACGTCTATTATATAGTCCTTTAAAGGCCACACACGTGTTGAGTGTTCGTGTGTATGTGTAATGTTAATGTGTGTGATGTGTGTGCGTAATCTATGTGATGTGTGTAATGTGTTTAGTGTGTGCAATGTGTGTGTAATATGTGTGATGTGTGTGTGTTATCTATGTAATGTGTAATGTGTGTAGTGTGTGTGTGTAATATCTGTGATGTGTGTGTGTGTGTAATCTATGTGATGTGTGTAATGTGTGTGTAATGTGTGTGTAGTGTGTGTGTAGTGTGTGTGTAGTGTGTGTGTAATGTGTGTGATGTGTGTGTAGTGTGTGTGATGTGTGTGTAGTGTGTGTGTAGTGTGTGTGTGTAGTGTGTGTGTAATGTGTGTGTAGTGTGTGTGTAATTTGTGTGATGTGTGTGTGTGTATAATGTGTGCAGTGTGTGTGTAATGTGTGTAGTGTGTGTGTAATGTGTGCGTGTCTCCCTGCCCGCTCGCCCGCCCGCGGGGCACACTGTGTGAAGCCATTAGACGGCGCCTGTGAGCGAACCGGAGGAGTTGGCCCCACATCGGCCCAGCCGCCCCGCTCCTCCTCCTCCCCGCGTGTCGAGGCGATTTCGGGTAGGAACCCACCCATTCATTCATTATCTCTCTCTCGGGGAGAGTGGACGGGCTATCTAGGGAGTAGTAAGACCGGCTGGTCCCCCAATCTCCCCCACCCGTATCTCCAGTCTCCCCCATTCCATATCCTCCGTCTTGTCCAATCTGTCGTCTGTACCTACCGTCTCCATCGTCTCTTCCCCTCTGCCCCCTCAAGTCTCTCTCCCGTTCCGTGTCTGCCTTCTGCCTCGATACGCGAAAATCTGGGCCGACACCCCAGAGGGTCCAGTCGAGGCGGTCGAATCCCGCCTCTCCCCGCATCTCTCCCCACCGCTCCTCCTCCTCCTCCTGTCCGAGCTTCCCCGTGGACGGTGCGGAGCGGAGCGCGGAATCGTGGAGCGCAGTGACCCTCGACTCCCCCCCCCCATCCCCTCCGGAACTAGAGGGAGATCAGGGAACCCAGGGATAAAAGGACAGCGATCGGGTGGTCGAGGTGGGAGGCGGGGCTCCGCGCTGCGACTGTGGTTTTGTTTGCGGCGAGAGCGAAGGGGATCTGGGAGCAGGGCAGCTCGTCGGGGAGTGAACGAGGAGGAGCGTGGAGCCGTGGGGAGTGGAACGGGGGTACGGGGTGGGGGGAGTCGTGGGGAGAGGAGCTGAGAGGGAACGGAGGAGGAGGAGTTGAGTGTGGGGAGAGCTGGCGCTGTCCGCGGTGCTGAAGTCCGCGCCATTGGCAACGGAGCGGCGTCGCGCGCTGCCCTATGCGTCAGTCCTCCCTGTGCGTCATGTAGCACTCACGGGTAACGCACGGTCGTGTATTGTTGTGTGCACGCACGCACCCATACACGCACGCACACACGTACAATTCTGTATTGTCATCATGTCATTTATGTATCCACAAGAGCCGTCGTATGGTTGAAGAGTCATGCCAGGCTCTTTGGCCTGAATGTAGGCCTTACTACTACTACTACTCGCCTCTGCGGTGATTCTTAATCTCCGTGGATTTTCTCGCGAGGTTGGTGACAAACAAAATGCGCGATTGTTAAGCAGGGCCGGGCTCTCGGAGCCTTGCTCCCCCTCTCTGGCCTAGCGAATTGGTCGGGCGGCGTGGGGGGGGGGGGCACCTGGGCCACGCTACTCCTCAAACCCGGCCTAACACCGAGACGCCGGGTCATCATCGCACAGTTGTCGGCGTGATTACAAGACGACTCATGCATCCCCTACCATAGACATGCGTGTGCAAGTACTCGAGTGTGTTCGTGTGTAGTCACGCGCGTGTGCATATCTGCTACCCATGTGTATGGTTTTAATGTGTGTGTGTGTGCACCCGGGTGTGTTTGTGGTGGAGCGGTAGTGTAGTGGTTAGCGCGCTGCGCTACGAACCCAGGGACCCAAGTTTCCCAGTGGCGATTATCTGAACCGGTCATGGGCCTCCCCTAGATCGACTAAGCCTCAAATGAGTACCTGGTGCAGTGTGTAATAACATTGCCACTGGTGCTGGCCACTCACCCCCTCGTGTGCCGGTACGGCCTTCATGGGTGCTCGCGAACAGCACTTGCCCCAATAGTTTGTTAAAGCTGTATGGGGGAATCTTTGTTTTTGTGTTTGTCTTTGTGTTTATGTATGCATGTGTGTCTGCATGTCTTCCCGTGTGTATGCTTATATGCATGTGTGTGTGCCCGGGTGTATTTGTGTCTATGTCAGCATCATAATTTAAATATTCGTTTATACTGGAGGAATCCGATCAGCGATAAAGCTCTTATTCACAGATGTCCAGTATGCATCCGTGTGTGCATGTCTGCCCATGTGTATAAGTACGTGTACTTGGGTGTGTATGTATGTGTGTGTGGGAAGCGGTAGTGTAGTGGTTAACGCGCCGAGTTCGATTCCCGCTCACAGCCAACACCGGTGCCGATTATTTGAAGCGGTCCTGGGCCTCCCCTAGGTCAATTCAGTCTCAAGTGTGTACCTGGTGTGGTGTGTAAACATCGCCCCAACAGTCTGTTCAGGCTATACGGGGGATCTTTGTCTTTGTGTGCACCCATATGTGTGTTTATTTGTGTATGCCTGGCATGAGACGTCCCAGCTCTCATGGGTGCTCGCTAACAACACCGAGCCTCGACAGCCTGTACGGCTATCGGGGGCTGTTCGTGTGGTGTAGGTTTAATTGTGAGGCACGCCCTGGACACGGTTGTGCAGATGTACTTGCACTCCGAGATCAGGACACGTCTTACCCATCAGAGGCACACACAGGCACAGGCTTGCCTGTGTGAACACTTATGTGTGTGTTTGTGTGAACACTTGTGTCTGTATGAACACGTGTGTGTGTCTGTGTGAACACTTGTGTGTGTGTCTGTGTGAACACTTGTGTGTGTGTGCGTCTGTGTGAACACGTGTGATGTGTCTGTGTGAACACGTGTGTGTGTCTTTGTGAACACGTGTGTGTGTCTGTGTGAATACGTGTGTGTGTCTGTGTGAACACGTGTGTGTGTGTGTCTGTGTGAACACTTGTGTGTGTGTGTCTGTGTGAACACGTGTGTGTGTCTGTGTGAACACTTGTGTGTGTCTGTGTGAACACTTGTGTGTGTGAATACGTGTGTGTGTGAACACTTGTGTGTGTGTCTGTGTAAACACTTGTGTGTGTGTGTGTGTCTGTGTGAACACGTGTGTGTGTGTGTGTCTGTGTGAACACGTGTGTGTGTCTGTGTGAACACTTGTGTGTGTGTGTGTTTCTGTGTGAACACGTGTGTGTGTCTGTGTGAACACTTGTGTGTGTGTGCGTCTTTGTGAACACTTGTGTGTGTGTGTGTCTGTGTGAACACGTGTGTGTATCTGTGTGAACACTTGTGTGTGCGTGTGTCTGTGTGAACACGTGTGTGTGTCTGTGTGAACACGTGTGTGTGTCTGTGTGAACACTTGTGTGTGTGTCTGTGTGAACACGTGTGTGTCTGTGTGAATACGTGTGTGTGTCTGTGTGAACACTTGAGTGTGTGTGTGTGTCTGTGTGAACACTTGTGTGTGTGTCTGTGTGAACACGTGTGTGTGTGTCTGTGTGAACACGTGTGTGTGTCTGTGTGAACACTTGTGTGTGTGTGTCTGTGTGAACACGTGTGTGTGTCTGTGTGAACACGTGTGTCTGTGTGCACACTTGTGTGTGTGTGTCTGTGTGCACACTTGTGTGTGTGTGTCTGTGTGAACACGTGTGTGTGTCTGTGTGAACACGTGTGTGTGTGTGTGTGTCTGTGTGAACACGTGTGTGTGTCTGTGTGAACACGTGTGTGTGTCTGTGTGAAAACGTGTGTGTGTCTGTGTGAACACTTGTGTGTGTGTCTGTGTGAACACGTGTGTGTGTGTGTGTCTGTGTGAACACGTGTGTGTGTCTGTATGAACACGTGTGTGTGTGTCTGTGTGAACACGTGTGTGTGTCTGTGTGAACACTTGTGTGTGTGTGTCTTTGTGAACACTTGTGTGTGTGTGAACACATCACCGCTGGAAAGACAAAGGCGGTCGGGCATGGTGCTGGCCACTCATCCCGTGCCAGCCTTCATAGGTGCTCGTGAAAATCCCTTGTGCCAAAAGTCTGTTCAGGCTATACGGGCGATCTTTGTTATTGGTGTTCACTGGAGTCTTCAGGACAACCTACGACCTCCCAGGAATCCACCAGCCCAGTGACCTCTCGACTCCCCGATTGCTCTTTCTTTCATACGTCACTTGAAAAGCAACTGACACATCCATTTGATGGCATCAGCAGTTGCCTAATCTATCGTGCCTCCTGTGCAAGCGTACAATGGGCAATGACCGGTTACCTGATGTGCAGATTCGCACCTCACGACATTCACAGTGGCCAGGGCTGCTTTTCCACTTTCCAAATGCGAAGGAAATAGCCTCACTTGGCGTGTGTTGTCCCAGCGCGATTAAGCGCAGTCCGCTGTTGCCTTCAACGCAAGCTGAAGCCAGGTAATTCCAGTATCGTCGGGTCTTGAATTTACTTGTCTTCCCCCGTTAAAGCCCTAAACAGCGTTTACTTTCATTCGCCCCAGTTGCCCTGCGCGCAAATGGGGTGCTTTGTCTCGCGGAAGGAGCATTCACGCCACGTCGTGTCTTACAGGAGTCAATTCAGTGGCAATTGATGGTGTTGAGATGTAAATTGGATTTGTGAATGTGAATTAGATTTGGGGAATAGGGCTGGGGTAGGAATACAATCTCGGAGGGATTGAATGCTCTTTATTGACAATCGCCAGGGCCGTCCGTCATCGTCGCGCCACTCGACTTGGCAATCGCGCCGCTCCGCGTGCAGGTGAGAGGTGAGCGCTGAGCGGCGGCCGCGCCATGTTCGAGCAGGAAGACCTGGAGGCCAAGCTCTCGTGCAGCGGAGTCGGCGTGAGGAATGGGCTGCTGAGGATCGGGCCCCCACAGCCCACGGGGCCCGCGCCGAGCCCGGCGCAGCCGACGCAAGGGAACGGACAGACGCAGGGCAGGCAGACGGCGGCGGCACCACCGTCCTCGCAGACGCCCGCGCAGACCGAGAGCCAAAGTGAGGCCCCCGCGCAGGGCCCGTCGCTGCAGGGTCACTCGCACGTTCAGGCGCAGCCCGCCGCACACGGCAAGGCCAAAGACCAGAGCCGGAACCCGGCACAGGGCCGGTCCCGACTGGGTCAGACGCTCGGGCCAGCCCAGCAGGCTCAGACGCAAGATCCTCTTCCGAGTCAGGCGCGCGCGGCCGACAAAGCGCCGCTCTTGCCGGCGAGCGGCGAGCCCGCGGCAAAGGCGCACGCTTCGGTTTGGGGACAGGGTCCGGAGCAACCCCAGGGCTCTCGCCCGCACGGCCTCGCGCAGGCGGAGATAAAGGGCCAAGCGCAGCCCCAGACTCCGAGCCAAAGCCAAGGCCTGGTGCAGGCCCAGGTGCAGAGTCTCGAGCAGCAGCTGCAGCAGCAGCAGCAGCAGCAGCAGAAGTCGAGCGCCAACTCGGGCCACTCGTCGGCCCAGCTGGAGGGTCCGAAGCAAAGCAACGGCGTCACCGCCACCGCCGAGGAGGCGGTGGGGGCTCCGTCGGCAGCGAGCATCACCAAGGGCACGCCGGTGACGCGCGCCTCGCGGCCGTGCTGCTCGCAGTCTATCACCACGGGCGTCTCCACATCCTCCTCCTCCTCCTCCTCCTCGTCGCCATCGTCCTCCCCGACCTCGTCCCCCCTGTCCCCGGCGGCGGCGGCGGCGCCGCCGCTGTCGCTGCTCTCCTCCTCGTCGTCCTCGTCGTCCTCGTCGTCGCTGGCGCCCCCGACGCCCCCCGTGTCCTCGTGCTCCCTGTCGTCCCTTTCCCCCACCTCCTCCTCGTCACCCTCCTCCCCCTCCTCGCTGCTGTCGCTGTCCTCGCCCGCCAGGGGCTGCGACGACTCCACGTCCTCGCCCGCGGCGGCCGCCGCGGCGGTGATGTGCGCGGCGCCGCCCGAGCGCCGCGGCGCCTCCTGGCCGGGGCCCCCGGGCGGCGCGGCGGACGGTGCCGGCGGTGGCGCGGCGGGCGCCGGCGGAGGGATGGGCGACGGGCCCTGGGACGGGGAAGAGGTCGCGACCGGCGCGGGCCACGGCGGCCCGGCCGATACGCACGCCCTTCTCGACCACCGCGTGCTGGCCCGCCTCTTCCTCTACTTCACCATCGCCGAGCGCCGCGTCCTGGCACAGGTGCCGGCACCACCTTCCCACCACACCCCTCCCTCCCTCCCCCGCCCACCCATTCCCCGCTGGTTCGAGAGCCAAGTCCAAGAACCCCCTCCATCCCCTGCACTGCCCAGCATCTGTCGGTGCCCTTACACTGTTGTCAACACAGCACCCCCCTTCCCCCCCCCCCACTACCGTTCATGTTGAGCACCGTCCCATCCATTTTTATTACGTCATGTAATTTTTACGGGCCGCGCGTGCGCTGAATCATTTGTAACCGAGTTACAGGGTCGACTCTCGACAAACCTTACGAGCAACCTGATGAGTGGCGGCCGGCTGTCTCGCACATCGGTCGCCTCGCCAGGCCACGCGTGCATTCCATTGGGGGGGGGCTCCGCTCCACGGCTGATTGCTCGCGCTCGCGCCGTCGCCGGCGACCTCACCGGTGCCGCTCGTGCGCGTCGGTCGCGGCGAGCAGGTGTGCCGCACCTGGCGCCGGGCGCTGTACCAGCCGCGGCTCTGGGAGGGCGTCACGCCGGTGCTGCACTGCGCGGAGCTCTACCGCAGCCTGGAGGCCAACGGCAACGGAGAGGCGGCACGTACGTGGAGCGTCTTCGCGCGCGTCTGGCGGTTCCGTCCCGTCGGCTTGTCCGTCCTTGACGTCTGGAAGCCCGTTGGCAACGGCCGGTGGCGGGGGGGCGGTGGGGGACACGGGGATGTGGTGACAGGGGACCCGGAGGCCACGGGGACATGGGACGAGAACACGAAGGGATTGTGGACGTGGCATGGGGACCTGGAGGCCACGGGGACATGGGACGAGAACACGAAGGGATTGTGGACGTGGGGAGCATCTTGACCAGGAGGCATGGGGACCTGGAGGCATGGGGGATATGGAGCACAGGGTCGCGGGGTCACTGACTGGCACAGGATCATGGGGGGTTCATGATACATTTGTAGTTGTTTGTGCTTTTTTGTTTTGGTGACCTTGGTTAATTTGTGTATTCATTTTAGATTTTGCTTGGTAGTAGTAGGATTTTCATTTGCTTGGCAGTGGCTGTATATGGGATTTGGTCCTTATATATAATTAACGTACAGCATTGTGGAATGCTGTTAGCATGAATGACGCTATGTAAAATGAAAGTCTTCTTATAATGTTTTATTATAGAACTCGAGCGTGAGATGTTGGGGTGGGTTACGTGCATTGTTTTAGCTTGAAGTAAAAAAACAGACAGCTCTCAGCTTGTAACTACATCTTGACTGTGTGTCCAGTGCGAGCGAAGCTTCGATATTGAGAAAAAAATACAACAAACTTTTCCGTGCATTGCCTTAGCGCACTGCTGTTACGGGGAAAAAAAAAGTAAGCATGGCAGGGAATCCGCGGCAACGTCGCACCAAACGGTGCGAAACCAAACCACGCCGCGTCGCCCAAAGTGTGGCGACCTCGCCGGAGATCCCACGAGTGGCGAGGGGCGAGAGAAACCTCCCGAGCTGTCGCTCCGCGTCAACGGAGCGCCTTGTGACCCGCCGTGCCTCCGCCGTCATGTGCCGTGTGCGTGTGTGTGCGCGTGCACACGCACACAGCGGTTAGCGCTACGCTGCGCTATGAACCTGGCGACCCGGGTTCGATTCCCGCTCACGGCCAACACCGGTGACGATTATCTGAACAGGTCCTGGGCCTCCCCTAGGTCGACTCAGCCTCAAATGAGTACCTGGTGCGGTGTGTAAACATCGCCACTGGGGAAACAAAGGCGGTCGGGCGTGGTGCTGGCCACCCACCCCCTCGTGTACCGTTCCGGCCTTCATAGGTGCTCGCTAACAGCACTTGCCGCTACAGCCTGTTAAGGCTACACGGGGGATCTTTGGTTTTGCTTGTGTGTGCGCATGCAGCGGGCGGCAGCGGCGACAAGGAGTTTGTGAGTCTGCTGGGCTTCGCGGCGCGAGGGTTCGACTCCTTCTGCCTCGTCGGCGTGTCCGATCTGGACGTCTGCGAGTTCATCGACAACTACCCGCTGGCGAAGGCCGGCGTGCGCGCGATGGGGCTGCGGAGGTCCACCATCACCGATGCGGGGCTGGAGGTGAGGCGCCCTCGTCGACACCGCGATGTCAACACTGTCGACACCATGACGTCAACACGGTCCCCATCAACACCGTGACGTCACCACGGTCACCGTCAACACTGCGACGTCATCACTGTCACCATCAACACCGCGACGTTAACACGGCCACCGTCAACACCGCAGCGTCAACACATTCACCGTCAACACCGCGACGTCATCACTGTCACCGGCAACACCGTGACATCACCACGGTCACCGTCAACACCGCGACGTCATCACTGTCGCCGTCAATACTGTGACATCATCACGGTCACCGTTAACACCGCGACGTCACCGTTAACACCGCGACGTCATCACCGTCAACACCGCGACGTCATCACTGTCACCATCAACACTGTGACATCATCACGGTCACCGGCAACACCGCGACGTCATCACTGTCACCATCAACACTGTGACATCATCACGGTCACCACGAACATGCTCCTCGGTGTTGGCAAATTAAAAACTATTAAACACATTTTTTTTATTTTACCAGGTAAAGCTATGTAGCTCTTTTTCAGAAGCGACCTGGCCACAATAATGATAGCTCAACGAAGTGGCTTATCACGTGGAAATGTGTAGCAGCCAAATACTCTAAACCTCGGAGAAAAATCCACGCGACCACGGGGGAGAGAGAGAGAGGAGACACGCAAACCTCCAAATATACAGCAGCAGGCGTCAGGGTCAGGATCGTACGCACGACCTCCTGCATACCAGGCGAAGGAGTTAACATCTCCTAGCCACCGTGATGATGATGATGAGAGAGAGAGACGCGCAAACCTCCAAATATACAGCAGCAGGCGTCAGGGTCAGGATCGTGCGCACGACCTCCTGCATACCAGGCGAGGGAGTTAACATCTTGCCACCGCGGTGGGGGTGGGGGGGGGCGGTGACGGTCCAGGTGATGCTGGAGCAGATGCAGGGCCTCGTGAAGCTCGAACTGTCCGGCTGCAACGACTTCACGGAGGCCGGGCTCTGGTCCAGCCTCAACGGCCGCCTGCAGGTGCTGGGCCTCAGCGACTGCATCAACGTTGCGGACGACGCCCTCGCCGCCATCGCGCGCCTCCTTCCCGACCTCTGCGAGCTGAGCCTTCAGGTGGCGCTACTCTGACCCGTTGCTCGTGCCGGGTGGGGGTGGGGGAGGGTTGGGGCGAGGGTGGGGTACGTGCGGGCGGAGGGTTTAGGGAGTAAGCCGGTGCCAAAGTGTTCGTGGTTTTGCGTCGAGGTTTGGATTTGCCTCGTGCGTTGCCGTCCGTCTTGGGCCTGTCCTTCCGAGAAGCTTGGGAACGACGTTGAAGTTTTGGGGGGGGGGGGGTGCACGAGAAGCTTTGGGGGGCCCATCAAGGCCAATTTTGCCCCCCACCAAGTCGAGAAGTCAGCGGCATGCGCCATCCCCTAACGTTTCCACTCCCATGGACTCGCGTCGTCATTTATTGTTTTGTGAACGTCCATCTCCCCCCGCCCCAAGAATGTGTGTCCACAATCCAATAGAGATTGTCGTTTCAATTTTAATTTATGAGGATTAAAGCGAAATTAAATGCCGTTTCAACACTCGGCGGATTTTAGCACATTTTGGCAACGAGTGGTAAATTGGCTCCGTCGTGGAGCAGCAGCAGCAGCAGGACGAGCGGGGAGGGGGAGGCGCCGGCGGGCGTGACGGCTCGCTGTCTCCCCGGCAGGCGTACCACGTGACGGACGTGGGCCTGGCCTACCTGACGGCGCGGCCGGGCCTCCACAAGCTCTGCTGCCTGCACCTCCACTCCTGCTGGGAGGTTCGTGTCCACGGCCACGGCGGACGGGGGGAGGGGGCGGCCGCTACTACCCCCGCCCCTCGCTCCCCCCTACCCCTCGCCACCTCCACCCCTCGACACCCCCCTCGCCCCTCGCCCCCCCACGCACGGCACCGACTCTCACTTCCCCGTGCGAGCAGGTGACGGACCGGGGCGTGGCCACGCTGGCACGGGGCTTGCCGGCGCTCACGCACCTCAGCCTCTCCGGCTGCTCGAAGCTGACGGACGAGGGCGTCGAAATGGTGGTGGCGTGCCCCCCGGCCGGCGTGGCGGGCGCGGCGGGGAGCGGCCTGCTGGCCCTCGACCTGTCGTGGTGCCCGCGCATCACCGACGCCGCCCTCGAGGCCATCGCCTGCGAGCTGCACCGCCTGCAGGAGCTCGTGCTCGACAGGTGCCCCAAACGACACCGCTCACCGCACACCGCCCACCGCTCACCGCCCACCGCACACCGCACACCGCTCACCGCACACCGCACACCACACACCGCACACCGCACACCGCACACCGCACACCGCCCACCGCACACCGCACACCGCTCACCGCCCACCGCACACCACACACCGCACACCGCACACCGCTCACCGCTCACCGCACACCGCTCACCACTCACCGCACACCACCCACCGCTCACCGCACACCGCACACCGCTCACCGCTCACCGCACACCGCACACCACCCACCGCTCACCGCACACCCCCCACCGCCCACCGCCCACCGCCCACCGCACACCGCACACCGGCCACGAGCTGGGGCCCGACGCCTTGTGATCCAACCGTGTGACCCAGCCATGTGATCCTGTGACCTATGACCCAGCTTTGAGTGCCTAATTAGCGGAGGCGGCAGCGCACGCTGCGCCGTCTGTTGAGCGCACGCCCAAGTACGCACGCACCCTCGACTGCGTGACGCGCGCCGCTCTGCTAAAAATACACGAGTGCGTGCGCGTAAAGAGGGGGCGACACACGCGCTATCTGCTAGGGATGGAAATTCTCACTTTGAATATGAATGGGCCAAGGGAGCAGCGGCGTACTGCTTGGCGCACTGGCTTACGAACCCGGCCGCCCGAGTTCACATTCGCGGCCATGGCTATGACGTCGGAAGCGAGCAAGTATCCGAACCCGTCTTGGGCCTCGTCTAGGTATGCTCAGCCTTAACGTGCTATCAGGTGTGGCGTGCAAACCTCGGCGTCGGGTAGACAAAGGCGACGGTGCTCGCCATCGTTCTGGCAGAACTTTCCCAGCAGCCTGTGCGGGCGATACGGGGAATCCTTGTCGGCATCTTGAGTGCATGTAAGTTGGTGGCACGTATCTTTAATTTGTTCGTTTTTTTTAATGCAAATTGCCCATGTGCTTAACACCCCCAACTGGTGTTGTGAGTCGAGGCTTTTTACGTGAGAGGAATGCTGATTGCTCGTTGTGTTTTTCGCAGGTTTATGTGCATGGGGGCGTGCATGCATGTGTTTTTATTCATGTATAGTGGGTTCACGTGTGAGGCACCCTTGACTTTGGAGGCAACACGTTTATTCTATGACCACAACGGGGTAACTACATAACCGGGTCAGGTCAGTTAACGCACTGCCTGACCCACGATGCCGAGCGTGACGACCGGAAACCGAAGAGCGAAGAGACGTACCACGGCGGGTTCCATTCCAGTAGACAGCCCGGATCGGACATCGGGACCTCCCTTTTATGCCCCTCAGCGTGGCACGGCTCCGCCTCGGCCACGCCCCCTTCTGGAACTCTCTAGAAGACTCTGGGCCTTACATCACATGTCCCTTCTGTCCCCTTTGGCCAACATCCTTACCCTGTCCTGTCACGTGCCCTTGCCAGCCAATCGGGCTGCTACGTCCTCACGCTCTCTCTCTCTCTCTGCCCGCCGTGAGAACCATGCTCCTTAGGGACCATTTACCATGGCATGGCACACCCTGCAGGCAGAGAGGGCTACTTGCTGTGCGCCCTAGTGACCCAATATACGTCACTCCATGTGTATGTATGCATGGTACATGTGTGTTAGTGTGGTGTACGTCGTGTGTGTGCGTGTGCAGCTCCACTTTTCCCCCTGTGTTGCCCTCCTTATTTAAGAGCCCAAAGCTCCCTCCCTCCGCTCTCATCCCCGAGTTCTCTGTTAATGGCGGTTGCCATGGTTACAACATGCAATTTTCATGAGCCGCTAAATTATATTTTTCCTTTCTTTCACTTTTGTCTTCTGTCTCCCCGCCACCTCCCTCGGTCCTCCGCTGCCCGTTTAACAATTTCAAAAGCTGCCGTGCTCCTAATGAGGATCGCCACGGCAACGACCTCGCGAGAGCGTTGCGCGGAGAAAAATTAACGCTCTTTACGGAAACAAAAAATACGCGTGCAGAGGCCGCTGGTTTCACCAACGCGTTCGCAGCAGACGCGGCAGCTGCCGCCGGCGCTTGGTGCCCTGGGACCACGGTGGCGAGATATTTAACTGCCTCACCTGGTTTGCAGGAGGTCGTGGGCTCAATCCCGACCTTGACGCCCGCTGTATGTTTGGAGTCTGCGTGTCTCTCTCTCTCTCTTTCTCTCTCTCCCCTGTGGTCGCGTGGATTTTTCTCGGGGTCGTCCGGTTTTTTCCCTCAACATTCAGAATCAGCACCACGCGTTTAGAGCATTTGGCTGCGATACATTTCGACGTGATGATAGGTCGCTTCGTCGAGCTGTCATCTGTGGCCAGGTCACTTCTTGGTAAAAATAAAATAAAAAGTTCATACTTTTAGTTTACCCTGGTACCCGATAGAACACGAGCCTGTGCGTTTGGTACCAGCAGTGCAAACCGACGTCTTGAGATTGACTTGAAGCTGTGATGAGGAAGGAGCGGAGAATGCAGGTTGGAGCCCTGCAGATCACCTTGTGGTGCTGCTGCTGGTGGTAGCTGAGGTGGTGGTTGTAGCTGTGGAGGTGGTTGTACCTGTGGTTGTAACCGTGGTGGTAGTTATTGCCATGGCGGTGGTTGTAATTGTGCCTGTGGTGGTGGTGGTGGTTGTAGCCATGGTGGTGGTCGTTGTGGCCATGGCGGTTGTCACTCACCCCACTCGCATCGCTCAGTGACATGGGTTTCACTGCCCCCCCCCTTATCACCCCGCCCCCCTCCCCCCACAGGTGTGTCCGCGTGACTGACCTTGGCCTAGGATACCTGTCCACCATGCCCTCTCTGCGCTCCCTCAACCTGCGCTGGTGCTGCCAGGTGGGAGCCTGCTGACCACGCCACTGCCCTCACGCTGTAACACCGATGCCCAACAGTACACTCACAATGTGTATAACTTCTTTCGCACCATACGCAGCCCACCGTGCTGATCGGAGGATATATGTGGCACCTACGCGCAACCATATCTCAAAAGCACTGTACAGAAACAGTGGGCGTTTTTTTATTTTTTGGGACGTAGTCGAAGGCAGAGGGTGAGAAGGATGGCCTTGAGTCTGGACCTGAACGGGGGCAGGGAGTGAACAGCGCGGATGGCTGTGGGGAAGGCAGTTCCAGACAATGGGGGCAGCCTGCAGTCCGAGTCCAAAACCTGGCTTATCGCTACCGCTGAGGCTGGCGATTGCTTGCCGTTGGTCTCTCTAAGAATGTCGTACCTAGCTTACAAATATGCCCCAATAGCAAGGTCATCGGGGGTAGCTTGTCATGAGAAAAAAGGGAATAACATTTTTGGGGTGGAAAATGTGATATGAATCATCTACAGAGCATGAAAATAAAATACAGTGAGTATGTTAAGTGAGTTTGTTAAACAGACAGTATGTAAATATGCAAAGCTTTCTGTAAACGGTAAATACTGTGGCATGTGCCACCCCAGATAATACCGACCATCCTCTCTTGATTCATGGGATAATCGGAGAATGAGTGGCCTCCATAATACAGGTTTTTTTTTTGGGTTAGATCGTGTAAATATATAAATGGAGCTCTCCAACACAACGGTGTGCACGTTCTGTTTACGTGACAAACCTTACTAATTGGCTGTGTCGGGTGGCGCATATTTACGCGACCTAACCCAAATAAACCCTGCATTATGGATGATATTGGTCGCGAGAGCCTGCTACTACGTGTTATAATGAGTGACCTCCGACGAAGTGATGGTTCAACTCGGCGGCTTGGACAGAAGTCGGCGATGGCTGGTGCGGAGGGTTCGGTGGAGGAGTGGAGGGGAGTAGAGTGATGTGAGAGGGGCCGAGGTGGGCAGCGGAGAGTCCACGGTGAGTGCGATGATCCCTTGGCGTTGGCCTGGGATTGCTCTGCGAGCCCGTGGAGGATTCGAGGCTCTGGGCCGATTTATGTGCGCGAGTGTGAGCGGCACGCTTTTTTTGCACCATCGAGAGATTTGTATGCGGGGAGATGAGGGATTAGAGATGAGCCTCACGAATGCTCCGTTTCCCCCAGACCACTCAAAACGGTCCAGGAAATGGCCCAGAAATGGCCCAAGGAAAATAACGGCCCAGGAATGGACAATTCGGGTTCCAAAATAGACCAGGCACAGGTTCGTGTCTCCGCGGTGTGATTGTCGATCCCTGCGGAGTGGTCATTTTCTCCTTTTTTTTGTTTTCCCAGATCCAGGATTTCGGGTTGCAACACTTGTATGGAATGCGCAGCCTCCGGGTCCTCTCGTTGGCAGGTGAGCCGCCGTTGTTTCCGTGGTGGGGCTGCGGTTGGTGCCGGAGGGGAGTGAGTTGGGGGGGGGGCGGCTAATATAACAGTAGCTCGTGATCTCATCTCGTCCCGCTCCCACCCATTCAACCAAACGAGCAACGGCTCGGAACGGTGAAACAGCACCCATGATCGAGACGGCGTGGGAAGGCAGTGGATTGATGATCGTCAGTTGCATTTAACCGAATTTGATTCTTTGCTTATGAATGGATGCTGAAGGCTGGATGCGATGAGAGATATATCGATAATAGCGTAACAACCCAAGCGGTGGGGGTGGTGGGGGAGTGTGTGTGCATTGGTGGCAGGTAGCAGTCCGTTTGTATAGGGTGGACCATATGCAAATAGTCTTCAAATAGTAGCTTGTGATTGACTAGGAGCACCTCTTATTGCTGTTCCTTTTGGCCCCCTCGAATAAATGAAAAACGCCGAAACAATTTAAGGATACGACTTACATTCGCAACTATTTAAAAGTTTTTTCTTTAACTTTAGGAGTAAAAAAAAGTGACAAGTTGTACATTGTATATATATCAAAACAATTTCAAGCGAATGTACTCGCTGGGGCATCACCGCAACCCTCGATTACAAACCGACGCTAGCGCGCTCGCACGCACGAGCGAGCGAGCGAGCGAGCGCTGCCGTGCTCGGGGTGCCCAGCTGCGACTGTTCTGGGGCGCCTGCTTGAGCGTCGTGGCGGCGGTGTGTGCGGCGATGCGTCGTGCCGTGTGCCAGGCTGCCCGCTGCTCACCATGGCCGGCCTCTCGGGCCTGGCTCGCCTGGCCTCGCTCGAGGAGCTGGAGCTCACCAACTGCCCCGGCGCGTCGCAGGAGCTCTTCCGCTACCTGAACCAACGGCTGCCGCGCTGCGTCATCGTCGAGTGACGTTCCGAGCCCTCCGCGCGGGGGACGGGGGTGAAGGGCGTCGGGTGGGGCCGCTGGGGACCAAGCGGGCGGGCACGACCAAAAACAAAATTCTTGACAAGACGTCGATGCGACAACACGACCAACCGCCCCCACCACGACCAACCACCCCCACAACGACCAACCGCCCCCACCACGACCAACCACCCCCACAACGACCAACCGCCCCCACAACGACCAACCGCCCCCACAACGACCAACCGCCCCCACAACGACCAACCGCCCCCACAACGACCAACCGCCCCCACAACGACCAACCGCCCCCACTACGACCAACCGCCCCCACAACGACCAACCGCCCCCACAACGACCAACCGCCCCCACAACGACCAACCGCCCCCACCCGCCACCGCAACGGTCGGCGTCTTCTCGTCGATGTCGGGCGTTTTGACGAGCGGGACTGCTCGACGCGACTCCTCCCCACCCCCACCCCGTGCCTGTGCGGTTTTTCGTTGTTCTCAAGGCGGCGATGGCGGCGGTGGTGAGCGCGAGTTTGCTGGCGGTCGGCGCCTCGTCGTTGCGTTTGGGGAGCGGCGTTCGGCCCCGGCCCGGGCCCGGCCCGGCGCGCCACGGGCCGTGCGTGTGCTTAGGCTCGTGCTGCCGTTTATTTATGCATCCACGCTTTATTTAAAGGGGAAGAAATGGGGAAGTAAATCGCTACCTGGATATCCGACCGACAAAGCGCGTGTCGTTTATGAAGGCTGCCTTTAATGTGCGCGCACTCTCGTGCGTACGCACACGCACAAATGCACAAGCGGTCGTTACGGTTTTCCTCACGGTCACGTCTTTCAAAAGTGCAGCTTAAGTTTTATTCTCGACACGAAACGTCCAAGCGCTGCGTGCGTGCGTGCGTGGCCGTGCCGTGACAGAGTTGCTTCTGAAAGCCTCGTTTGCATCACCTCCTCCCGTCCTCGTCCTCGCTGCGCGACCCCTTCACCCCGCGCACACCCCCGAGCGACCGCGACCGCCGATCGTCGCGCCGATGCCCGGCACCCGAGGCCGGACGCAGGGTCGCCCCCCCCCGGGCGAGGCCACTCCCGGCCCTCGTTAACCCAAATCGACGCCGAACGAGGGGGGAAACGGAACCCTGCGTGACGGCGGAGCGCATGGCTTCCCATGTAGCGCCTGTCGGAGACACGCTGGAACACTTGCGAAGTATACGCGACAAAACCACTACACTTTACCGACCGCAGTACTCCGGGAGGTGGGGGGGGGGGTGGGGGGGCGGGCATGCGTCTGCCTGGGAGGGCTGCTGCTGCAGGTGCTGCTGCTGCAGGTGCCTTCTACCTACGTCTTGACGGCGAGCCAAGCAGCGGGGTCGGCGGCATTCGGCAGACACCTTGGGCCACGCTACTCGGCCCGCTCTCTCCGTTGCTGAACCGCCACGTGATGTCAATGGCGGCGGCCCGGGCCACGTGGCCAGGAGGCTCCTGAGAAAACGGCATTTTGCTTTACTCTCCCATCGCTACCCTCCCTCCCCACCCACCCCCAACCGGACGGTGGGGGATTTCAGCTTCTTCAGCGCAAGCGCCGTGAGAACAAGCGGAGCCACACGGATCAAGGCGGCGGCGGCGGCGGGATTTGAGCAGCCGCGTGGCCACGTGAACGTGCCACGCGGTGCCCACTGGCACTGCCGGAGTGCAAGACGGGAGGGGGTTGGGGGAGGGGGGTGACTCAACGTGGTGTTTTGTGATCGGCGAGTTGTCGGCGGTCAAAAACCTTGAGAACGGAAAACCCAAATATGTGCATCGAGCCGAGTGGCAGGCTTGCTTGCAGGCCTTGTCTATCTGCGAAGGTCGGGCAAACAATGCATTAGCAGGGGATTGTAAACATTTACAAAAATCGTGCAGATTTTTTGATATCACGTTCTCAAGCTTTTTTGACGATGTCTATATATATAGCTACGCATTGAGTATCGTGGTGGTTTTGGCCCAGATAGCCCCATTTCAGTGTGGATTCGACTCCAAACACACACAGACGTGAAGACGAGTGTGGAATTCACAATTCATATTTTCTCATCGGATATTGGGACATCTGGTAGTCCCAGTACCTGGAACATAGATGTATGTATTTTTGGGGGGATTTGTGGTCGTTTTAACAATAGTAAACACAAACCACACTCAAACGAAAACACTAAATAATGGTTTAAAATGCTATCAACTATAGACATGATGTCAGGTTGCCTGCACACCGTCGCCACCATCCATCTGCAATTTTCTTTGGGAGGTCATCCGCCCCCTGGAGTTTTCCTCGGCTCAGGACTCTGGGTCTCACTTCACACCTCCACGTCCCTTGACTACGTCTGCCAGGGTCACTTACACAACCACCCGCACACAACTACACGGATAGGCATACACACCCAGGCATGTACACTAAGCGCACAAGCACTCATGCACACATACACACACGTACACACACACACATTCGTATGTAAATACTTGCACATACAAAGAAGACTATCCCCCGGTATAGATTTTAGCTTTTGGGGCACATGCTGTTGGCGAGTAACTAAGGGGCCATCCATTTAATGCGTACGCATGGAGGGGGGGTTAATCCAAACGTGTACGCTTGCGTATGGGGGGGGGGTCTACTGACAATGTATGTACGCATAGGAAACGGGGGGGGGGTGAAGCCTCGATAATAATGCAGCCGGCTTAAACACGTTAATATTATTAATCCTTGATCGTTTCTGCGTGGATTAAATATCAGCCGTTCTATAGGTTTCGGGGGGGGGGGAGGGGGGTGCGTCAGGCGTACATACCGAGGTGGGGGTGGGGGGGTGTAAAAAGTCCGCGTGCGTATAGGGAGGTGTGGAGGGGTCAAGTTTTGACAGATTTTTGCGTACCCACTAAATGGATGGCCCCTAACGACGCACGAGGGTTGTTGGGTGGCCAGCACCACGTCCGGCCTCCTTGGCCTGTCCAGTGCTGGATGTTTACGCACCGCACCACGTACTCACTTAAGGCTAAGTCGACCTAGGGGAGGTCCAGGACCGGTTCAGATATTCGCCACTGCTATTGGGTTGTTGGGTGGCCAGCACCACGTCCGGCCTCCTTGGCCTGTCCAGTGCTGGATGTTTACGCACCGCACCACGTACTCACTTAAGGCTAAGTCGACCTAGGGGAGGTCCGGGACCGGTTCAGATATTCGCCACTGCTATTGGTGGAATTTGAACTCGGGTCGCAGGATTTATGGCGTGGTGCGCTAACCACTACACTCGCGCTCCCCCATACGCACGCGCGAGAGGATGTACATTTACATGCTGTGCACAGACACGCGAACACGTTTTGCACACGAAACAAAAGGTGAAGCCCAGGAGATGGTGCAGTGTGAGGCCAAAGCATGGCAAGTGTAAATGTTATACATGTCAATCACACCTTGCAGCACACGTGGGCTGCGTTAGGCAGCATCTTGTCAACCTCGGACGAACAAAGAGAGGCGGAGGAGGGGGGGGGACACTCCGCGGAAGCTAACTTTGCAAAAATATATCACGTGTGTGTGTAACCTAAACACATTTTTACCAGCAGTGGCATGCATTTGAATGACTGCAAGTCTAGCGGGCGGTTACAGAGGCTGCACAATGTCCAGGATTAACGATTCGCTCGTCAGAGCATGTGAACTGCGGGCGCGTTTCAAAAGGCGAATGTCTCTCTGAACGACGGGCATTCAACCCGTGTTGGTTGAATATCAAGCAAAAGAGCCGTCTAATAGGGGGGTTTATACCCCGGCGTTGAATTAGGGAACATTATTTAAAAAAACAACAACAACCTGTAGGTGATGATGAATCCGCAGTTGTCACCTGGTTCAATAAAAGACACCGATGCCGTGTTGACTGGACCCCGGCGCTGCTGTGATTGGTGTGCGAATCGTGAATCTACGATGATGCCTGAAAGTCCATCCTACAGCGGGCATCGTCATCGGGTCACGGTCAAGGGACAATCGAGACTGGTGAGCCGTGGTTAAATAAAGGGTTGGTCAGGGCGCACTGGGAGAGCGGGAAGAGGGGATGGTGTCGGTTGCATTGGCCTTCAGTCGCATACAAACAGTGCCCTTATTAAGCTAGTGTGGGTCCTGTAGCATGATGTTATAAAGGGGCCATAAATAAAGGAAACACATACATATGATTTTTTTAAACTTGTATAGTAAAGTAATTGATTTTTTCCATTTGCTATACAGCTAGATAATACGACAAATCGTTCACCTTAAACACCCAGTCGTTCATAAAAATTGAAGGCGGTATAGTACTATAGTAATAGAGCAAGTGCAGAAATCACTGAACCGGAATTGATAGCTTGAAAGCATTTGGCGCGGGGCCCTTGAAAGTGCGGGGCCCGTAGCACGTGTAGTTACTACTGCATTAATCCTCGGCATAATTAATGATAAATTCGTGCCATTTCGTCACGGTACATGTGTGATCGAGCAGTGATCGAGCTTTGGATTGTGTTGCTGCTCAGAAAAAGCATTATCGTGTCTGACGATTCTCGTTCCAGTATTCATTATTTCTTCAACTCGGAACGCCTCCCTTTGAAAAAAACCCCACCATATTTGGGCAAAGCCACGACCTATCGGTCCATATTTGGGCCTGACAAATTAACACAATTTATCATTTATTCTGCCGCGGGATTCATTCCGTCATATACAGCAGGTCAGGGTCCGGGCACGTGTTCCCCTTGATTGCTACAGAACACCTCACCCCCTCGCCCCAATAAAACGGACGTGTAACCTCCCACATTCACGCTATTATTTTGTACACAGTTCAAAATACTAATTAACATACCAGTCAACACCTTATCACTGCCTAGCTTATTCCAGACCAATTCAGACCTAATTGGTCACCCCGTGCCCTTATAAATCTCAACGTTCATCCTACAAAGTCCCATCTCGGGGGAGAAACACGAACAAATAGTCAAAACAATGTGTTGCTGCCCGTATCGAAACGGCCGTACGCCGTGTGGACCTGAAAACTCAATGTCTCTGTACAAGGACACGGGGTAAACAATATTGGTTGACACGGTGTGCATCATCCTCACCCGGGTTCGGAAGAACGCTGCTGGCGAACAGAGCGGAACACTTCATCGTTCGAGATCCAAACATCATCGCACCAACATCCAAGCTTTGACATTCATCCTCCCCACCAAGACACTGGAGTGACCATCAAGCGAATCAGAACATTCGACAGCGAGCAGGCCGATGAGTAACCACCTTCGTGAACGGTGAAGGCAAAGCCGCAGTTGTGCGATTGTGGTCTTGCCACCCCAAGGTATGGCCCCATACTGCTCTTTAAAAATCATCGACGTCTCGAGTTCCCTCGGCTGACTGTTGGCTGGGCTCAGCAAACAGCGATCGAAACGTCGTGAAATTTTGATTTGAAGCTTTCGTGACTGCAGGAATTCCTATCCCTTTGGTTATTTCGGTAAAGTCACGTGGGTAGAAAAAAAATAATAGATCACGACGTTTCGATCGCCACACAAACAACCGTCTTCAGGGGTGAGTCACCTACGTGACTTTACCGAAAGAACCAAAGAGTATGTCGTGATATTTTTTTATTTTTCATTAATTTATATTAAAAAAAATTGTTATTATTTTTTCTATCTACGCGACTTTACCGAAAGACCCAAAGAATATGAAATAACTCCGTTGTTTGTGGCTCCTGCGGGCCGTTGCCACCGAAGCTAGCTGGGTAACTGGCTACACGGGACTTTCCGTGACATTTTTTCCATGACATTTTCGTGATAATAATCAGAGATAGCGACACCCAAGAGGTGGGAGTAACGAATACGGTTCATTTAAAACCGCGCTCGTCAATGTGTGCTCCTTTTAATGTAAGTCTTTCTCCAGAATATTCAGTAAATATGAAAGAATATTAAAAAAAAACCCACTACATATTATCTCGACATGCTATGAATACCTAAAAAAGGCAGAATGCTCTCTTTGAGCTTTCCGAGTACAGGAGGATTGTGAGTAGGGCATGAACAGGTTTTATATCCTCGTCTGTTTAATAATAATCTTTGTAATAATAATGTGAATATTTATTTTTCGATTTAAAGCTTTCGTGACTGCAAGTATTCATCTTCTTTGGTTCTTTCGGTAAAGGCACGTAGAATGAGAATAAAATAATATTATTGCGTTATTTTATTTTATCAATTTATTATTTTATTCTCATTCTACGTGACTTTACCGAAAGAACCAAAGAAAATGTGATTGTTTGTC